ATGGGTGTTAGTTTCTCTAAGGAGGGCTGCTCTTGACCAGTCAATGTTCAAATGCTCAGCGCTGGGGCTTCCCTTGCCATTTCCCCTTGTCTTCACTTCTGGGCTGCTGGGCCCCTGCAGGCATTTGAAGAAGCAGAAGTAGGCCTCTAAAAGAGCAGCTGGCCGCGCAGGTGTAAATGCAGACAGATGAGGCCTTCCAACCAGGGATATCCCACTCATACTAGATTGCAGGCTACACGGTCACTTTAAAAAAGGTTTTATACAGATTTGGAGACTATAAACATGGAACTATATAGGAGGCAACTGGTAAGGGCTCCTAGGTGTGTTTCTTTGTGCCCGAGTGAATTAAGGTAAGAAAGCAAGGCCCAAATTATATCTTTACCAGTCCTGTCAGACCTAAATGAAAAAGATGATTATTTTGCTGAGTCTAAAAGAAGTGGTTCAGATTTTGGCTGCTGTTTTGAGCTTGGATCACAAACCATGACATTTTTTGTTTTATTTATTAATCCATGAAAAGTTTTAAAGGACCTTTTTATTGTCTCTCGTAGATCTTCCTTGGCAGAGAAAGGAAAATACATAGGTCAAGTGAAACCATTCCAGACAAGGAAAATAGCCCACCTACAAGATGGATGTCCATAAGCCAGGAATGGTTTTACTTGACCTATGTATTTTCTTAACCAAAGATCAAAAACAGCATGATATCAAGAGCAGAGCAACTGAAAGTACTGGGCTCTGCCAACTATTACAGCTATGGCTGCAATCAAGGAGCATTTAGCAACACGTGACAGCACTGTGTGCAAAGATTGACCTCTCTCTCTCTCTCTCTCATTCTCTCTCTCTCTCTCTCTCCCTTTCTCTCTCTCTCTTTTGTCACACACACACACACACACACACACACACACACACACACACACACACCAGCATACACTGCATCTGCTTAAAAAAAAACCAAAGGACCATAGAACTTCAATCACTCTTAGATGATGGAGCCATCCCACATGGAAATTGCATTGTTCTAGAAAAGGAAGACAAGTAGGTAAACACAGTGTCGATGGAGTAATTGGCCTATAAAAAAGGATTCATTATTTGTGAACCTCACACCTGGACAAATGCAGTAATCTCCCAGTTGTATTTTCTTTCCTACATGAACAATCATCTGAAAGTTTCTCCACATTGCAGGAACTGGTTTAGGTGTTGGGTATTAAGACAGATGATAATTGGCCCTACCTACCCTAATGAAGCTGACTTTGGAAACCAGATGTACTGATAATACATAGGCATACATGTTATAACCTGTAGGCTGAAAATGTGCCACCTTCCACCCAATTTTGGGGGACCAGGGCTCTAACTTCTCCTTTAACTGATCCTCTGCTCTATAATTTGCCTAATAACTCCATTCTCCCCAGGCTAGCCTTGCCTCTGCCAACCCTCCCAGAAGTCCTACATGCTGACAGACTTCATTGACTCCCAACTAAATGCCTGCTAACATATCTCCATTTACCTCCTCCCAGATTCTCCAACCCTTTATCTCTGCCCTGCTGGCAAGATATCCACTTGCTGTTCTTCTCTGATGCCAGTCTCCAGATTTTTGTGCTCCGAGATTTGACCTCCCCAAATCTCTTAAGTGTAAAGAAGAAACCAAGTTCGTAATCAGAAGACTGCTTGGAAGCTGACATCGGTGGCCACCTAGAGGCTGAGGTCACTGAGGGCCCACGCACATGGTCCGCTGTTCTGCATGACCTGCAGCAGTCCCCCAGATGTCCTCTTTCTAAACATCCTTTGAGAAACAGAAGATGCTTTGTGCTTCCAGCCGGTAGTTCTAGACACCGCCATTTTTCTTCTCTTCACAATTCATGAGGTTCTAGTTTTCTTCTACTTTCAGTCAGGCTTTGGCTAGGTTAGCTCTTCATTTTAACTTCTTAATTTGTTTTATATTGGACAGCGTAACCTAACAATTCTGCAAAGAACTAACATTATCAGTGTAGATTTAACTGGCTATCAAGAGAGAAAAGGAGAGAAGGAAAGAATGACAAAGAAAGAATGAGATTTCATTTCTATGCCTTTATTATACAGGTAATAGAGGCAGGAAGTACATTTTGCTCTCTGAAGGCTGAAGACATTTCTGATAGTCATAACTGCTACTGTCAAACGGTAGCAGAGGCCAGGAATACTGCTCAATAGCCTTCAATGCACAGGACAGCCCCACAACAAAAAAATAATCACCCAACCCAAAATGTCAGCAGTTTAAAGGTTGAGAATCTCTAGATTACATATGTTCAAAAGGCCAAGGAAGATTATATAACTACTTCTCACTTGGGCAGTTCACCTCAATTCTCTGAAATTATCCATGACATCTGATGACTTGGCTGACTTTAATGGTTAAGCTTCTGCTTGTGGGATATCACACACTCTCACCTTAAAGTTCAAAGAATTGCTCACTAACCAGCCCTTAACCACGTGTATGAACCAGCTGGCCCACATGACTAACAGACTATTTCTCACTGGGCACAAGGAAGGCTTATTTAGGAGTTGTTGCCAACATCTGTGGTGTTTAGTGTGCTGAGAGACCAAAAAAAAAAAAAAAAAAAAAAAAAAAGGGCAGGAAAGAAAGTGGATGCAAAAATTTTACATGGAGTGAAATTCTATTAAGCTTATCATGCCTTAAAAATTTTATGAGAGAATGCAAATAGATTCTCCTTTAGATGTGAAGCTTCCTTCCCTTCTTCCTATCATTAGGAGCTATAAAAAGGAGCAAAGGAATGGAGCTTGGAAGTGGACAGGCCATTGGGTCAACGGGAGAGCTTCCACTCTGAGGTGGCACTACGGAAAGAGAAAAAAAATGAGGACTTGTTGCCAAATTGGATTAGACTTTCCCTTTTCTTTTTAGTCATAGAAAATGCAAGACTTGAGAAACTGATAATAACTGTTACAATGGAGGGAGGTGGTGTGAGGTCTAGAACAGAATGAAGGAGAAAGCAAGACGACAGTCTTTTATGGAGACTCCCTCACCACACACACAAAATAATAAATATTAAAAACCTGATTCTTCTGATTTATGTTAATGGTCTTCTCTTTTCTTATTTAATAAAAATTGAGAATGTGAAATCTAAAATGGAGAATCTGAGCATGTGGGTATTACAGAGCTAATATAAATGCAGGCCAGAGTGCCAACATTGCCTGTTAAAAGATAGCCTGTCAGGTTCTGAGTCTAAGAGAAACTGTTAAGCAGATGATCTGAGCTATCGATATAATTATGGTGAGGAGCAGAGGAGTAAGAGGTGGGCTGCCCAGATGGCTGGGAGACAGGAGGGAGAAGAAGAAGAAGAGGAAAGGAACACTTAGAAACAAAGGGCAGGAAGTGTGATGTCTGATCTGGGTCCCATCTTATCTAAAGTAAACAATTTGGGTGCATTCTGAGTAGTGGCTTCCTACATGTGGACCTTTGGTTTCACAGAAGATGTGGCATACAAGGAAAGGAATGACCAAGATAGAGTTCCCAAGTTTTCAAAATGTCAGCATTTCTCACTGCTGTTTTCTAAGCCTCCTGAAATGCATTAATTTATTCAACAAATATTTACGGAAGCCCCTATCTGTGCCAGGTGCTGTGCCAGGCCAGGTGACTATAGTAGTTAAGACTGGCAAGGTACAGTTCCTTTGGAGTTTGTTTTCTAGTGAGACAGATAAAATGTAAGCCAGTCAATATGATGTTGTGCCATGGTTAAATGGTATGAAGAAAACACTTCAGGATGAATATGGTAGTGACTGGAGTATCTACTTTACTAGTAGGTTGGATGGTCAAGAAAAGCCTCTTTGAGGTGACACTTGGTGACATGCCAAGAGATTAAGATTGAGATGTCTAGGTAGAGAGCACAGCCCACACAAAGGGCCACGTGCTGATCTGTCCTGGCAGATCTGAGGAGCCCCCAGAAAGACCATGCGGCCTCACTGGTAAGCAAGGAGTAGATGAAATGAGGTCCTGGGTGAGCTCAGCCATATAAGACTGCAGCATGGGTTCCTTTAGCAAATACATATTAAGCACCTCGTGTGCTCACGGCATTGATGAGCATATAGAAATGGAACTGAGAAACCCCCCTGTCTCAAGGATTCAGTCCCCAGGGAAGAAGTTAAAGTATAGTGAGGGTGACGGAATATTCAAAACAACTTTGTTACAGGAGGGACACACTAGATGTACAGAGCCGCGGCCTGAGGTCAGAGATCCGGCGGCCACCTCCTCCCCCCACAGGGAGGCAAGGTCACTCCGGAGATGAGTAACCGAGCCCACCTTTCCTTGGCGGGCGCGCCTTCTCGGTCTCCGTGGGCGGGGGCGGGCCACAGAAATCCCCGCCCGGCCGGGTCTGCCGGTGAGGAGCACCTGATTCACCCGCCGCCCGGCGGGGCGACGCTGCTCGGAACAGCCCCGCCCCCGCCCCGCAGTGGTCCCGGGAGGAGCCCGGCGGAAGTCTGGGTGACTCTGCCCCCTCCCCCAGGCCGCCCGTGACGCCCGGCCGGGCGGGGACCTCCTCGGCGACCCCCGCCCGCGGCCCCGCCCCCGTCCGCCCGCGGCCCCGCCCACACGCTCGGGGACGCGCTTGCGCGCTCGAGGCCGCCGCCCGCCGGAGCCGCTCTGCGCCCCTCCCCCGCCGCCCGCCGGAGCCGGACCACACGCCCCAGGGAGCCGGGGGGAGGGGGCGGGGGCCTCCTCGGCGGACGGGCTGAGCGGCTCCAGTTCCCGGCTGGGACGCCGCCGCTCCGCCCGGCCGAGCCGGGAAGTCCGGGGCGGGCGAGCGGAAAACCCCAGGGTCCGGCCTGGTGGGGAGCCAGCCGCGCCGCCGGCCGCCCCAGATTCCCGTTGTTGTTGTTGACAGTCAGTGCACGCAGTCCCTCCCCGCGCCTCCTCCCTCCCGCCCCACCTGCTCCCCGGCTCCCGGCCCCGCCACTAGGGAGCCTGCGCCCTCGGAGCCGGGTGTGGGAGCGGGCGCTGGAGCGCGCATTCGGCCGCCATGGGGAATGGGATGAACAAGGTAACGTGTCTGTCTCCTGTGTGCAGGTTTCGCCTCCACCTCTCAGCCTCCCTCCGGCGGGAGTGCGGGCTCCCCACACGTGCCTCCGTGGAGGGGGAGGCGGGCGGTGCGGGGCGGCGCCCGGCCTAGGCATTGGGGGGCGCCCCTGTGGGCCCCGCTTCCGGCGCAGCCCCCGCCTCCGGGCGGGCGGGCGGCCTGCGCACCCCTCGCTGTGTGGGTCGCCGTTCCGCTCCCCCAACCCGGCCCCGAGCTGGGCGCCGCGGCCCTCCTCCCCTGCTCACTCCCGGCTCTGGAGGCGTCCTCACGGGGTCGTTAGGAAACCAGGAGAGAGGTGTCCTCCAGTCTCTACCCTCCTTTTCTCCGCAGATTTTGTTTATTTTTCGTGAGCACAGACTAGTCCTGTGGACCGAGAATTGACGGGCCAGATTCCCAGGTGTTTTAAACACGCATTAGGGGCGGGGCGACCTGAGAGCACTGACGGAGCTGACAGATTCTGGGTGGGTGGCTGCTGCTGCGAGGCCAACCTGTGGGCCGGCAGACCGCGGGCGTGCCCCCTGCAAATCCGTGCTGCGCTCTCCTCCCGCTCCAGCCGCACCGCCTGCCCGCCTTTCAGCTTAGGCTGTGGGCTGCTTCCACCGATGGAAGGTGGCGGGAAAGGGACAAGCTCTTAAGCTGAGAGTTGCCTGGGATGTATTCATGTTAAAGGTTTTGTGATCTGGTACTGGTGGTTTAAAGAAAAAAATTACAATAACTCTTTTAAAACCCTCAACACACACAAGGTCACAGGTCTGTGGAATGGTCTTGGATTGGAGAGTAGCGTCTGGTCTGCTTCTCTTTCCCCATTGAATCCCACTCACTCACTTCTCCACATACATTCAGCACTCAAGGTCGGTGGATGTAACAGTGTGGCTTTCTTTTTTTTATTTGTCTCAGCACTGGGATCAGCATTGACCTGGTTCCTTTAGCTGGAGTGTCAAAAGTGTGCTAGGGAGTGTTAAGAGACAAGATGGGAAAAGAGGCTTATGGTAGAAGTAGCCCTTGTACCTTCTTAACTCCACCTGCCCACATTGTTTCTTGTGTTCTGCGGATCCAGTTGATGAAAGAACTATGTGTTTTGGGCTTGCATATCTGAGGGTTTTTTGGTAGCCAGAATTGTATTCATTGTGTGTGTGGTGTTTTTTGTTGGGGGTTAGGGGAGTGGATGGTGGGGTAGTGATCAAATTTGGAGAAAGACTATTTGGCTTTTGGATAACCACTTGCCCTATATCAGCACCATGCATGAGTCTTCCGCTTATTAAATTAACACAGAACAACAGTAAAGCCACTTTCACAAGTTTTTGCTTTCCTGTCTGCTTTCCTGTCTGCTTTCCTATTAACTGTGGTCATACCTCGGCTTTTCTTTGGTTCTTTCAACAGTATTTCCCACTTAAATTGCTTACTCTCCAGCTCTTTCAGCATTTCATTTATTACATTTATATTATAACTCAAAATAACATATTTCAAAATACAAATGATTGTCCAAGAGTTCAAAATTAATTTCAAGCTTTTTAGCAAAAAGTCACATTATAAATTTACCCTTCAAAGAAAGTATTACTTTATGATGCTATCCTAACCATCTTGTGTTGTAAATAGAACCACTATCTCCAATCTAGAGATGGAGAAACATACAGACAGATTTAGAAATACCCTTAATTCAACAAATATGTGTTGTGTACTTGCTATTATAGTCAGGTGCTGTGCTAGTTGAGTGGGTGGGGTGAAAGTGTGATGGTAATGACACAGACAGAACCTTCAGTGTAGACCAGCGATTGCCCAATAGAAATAGGTGAGCCAAGTATTTAATCTAGATTTTTTTAGTAGCCACATTAAAAAAGTAAACAGAAACAGGTCAAATTAAAGTTAGTAATATATTTTATTCAACTGAAATATATTCAGAATTTTGTCATTTCAACATGTATCCAATATATAAAATTATTTATACAATGGTTTACAGTTTTATGTACTACGTCTTCAAAGTCTGGTGTATATTTTATACGTAAATGACATCTCATTTTAAGTACTCAGCCATTGTGGCTAATGGCTACTATATTACACAAGATGTGTGTATATATGTGTGTGATAGAGAAAGAAAGAGAAGACCTGCATAAACACAGGATGGGGAGGAATACAAGCTCCAGGATAAGATAGGCAATTTCAGGAATGAGGAGTAAGTAGATGTGATGAGAGAAAGCTTCATTTAGGCCAGTATCATTTAGGCCAGGCCAAGGATCCTGCTTGGGCAGAGATGTTTAAGTTGAGGTCAGAATGAATTACTTAAAGTTACAAGGTTAGTTAGTGGCAAAGTAGGCTGCCGGAAGCCAGAAATTAAAAGCCTTAACTAGAGTTTGTTCATGTCTTTGTGTGACTTGGAATTAGGCTTCATGTTTTCCCTGTCTATAAAAAAATAAGGTTGATTTGCAGAAACAGTGGAATTATAAGGTGCTAACAACCATAGAAATGCTTTTCTAAGCACTTTTATGAGTAATATATAATGCCCTTCAAACTGAAAATGTAATTGACAGTACGTGTGTCCTGAGGTTACTGGGACAAGATTTCTTTCCAGTATGTCAAGTTAGTCATTCTTGGCCAAAGAAAACTTATGAACTAAATAATGCAGATTCCATTCTTACTGCTTGGAGTTTTTACTTATATTTCATGTCCTTGAGAGGATCTTATCCATATGTTCCAGTCTTGAGGAGAGCATCATGCCCATCTCAGTTAGGTGTACTCAGTGTGTTACACAGAGTATAAGGAAGAAAGGCTTCTTTGTTCTGGCCAATTGAAGATGATGAGGAAATACGGAAAGAGAACACAGCAATTGTGATCTATTATTTTTTTGAGCCTCATATGTGCCTGCAGTTTATAAAATCTAAGCCTCACTACAGCCTGTCTTTTCCTTTTGTACAGATTGGAAATGGAGACTGGTAGAGATGATTAAGGTCTTACCAAATGCTAGGAAGAAGCAGGACTGAGTTTGGAGCCCAGTTCCCACTGATTTTGAGGACAGGAGAAGCCCTTCCTTTACCTGGGATGTCAGTTCAGTCCAAATGAATTCTAAAGATAGCAAAAAAATAATTTGAGAAAGCTCCCCAGAGTTCCAAATTAATTGCAAAATAGGAAAGCCACCTCCTCTCTTCATGGTTGACATTAATAAAACAAAAGGAGAGAAAGGGAAGCAACTAAAACTATCATTTCATTACTTTTTGTGCAATTCCCAAAGAGATTCTCTGAACTGGTCAAAATTATAGTCACTAATGAGCTTATTGTATGCCAGGGCAAGTCTTGAGACTTTACCTTTGATCCTCACCACAGTGCTGCCCAGTAGATACTGTTATTTGTATTCCTGTTTTACAGATGAGATACACAGAGTTTTAGTGACCAGCCCAAAGTTACCTGTCTGGTGAGTGGCAGAGTCTGAACTCTAAGCCAAACGATTGGGTTCATAGCCATAACACAGAGTGCCTCTGTGCTGCTAAAAGGGTCAGACTAGTAAATGTCTCTGTTGAGGATTAGAGTTAAACTAAATAGGCTATTGCATGCAAATTATCATGTTTCTATGGAGCCTTTGCAAACTCCTAATTGACTCAAAGTTCTCTCAAGTGTCTAAACCCCCAAATCTTTTGGGGAGGACCTATAAAGAAAATGACTATCTCATTATTATCTTATTAACCTTAAGTAGTATTATAATACCCCATTAAAAACAAATATCCAGTTTTTCTAGACAGCATTATATTGGAGAAGCGGGCCCAAATGTGTCTCCAACCTGAACTAATGACCTAGAAGTGGGCTAATATGTTACCATCTTCTGGCTCTGGTTGATGTATTTTCGCCCCCTGACTGAATGGTTGACTCAATTCATCCAGCACCTAGCTGCCCAGTCTGGTAGCCTCTTCCTTCCTCACTCTGCTCTGTGTCCTCTAAAAGCTACCTTCCGAGTATAAAGGGATGTTGTCCAGTATTTCATGGGAAACTTGCTTATGGTAATAGAAGGCAAACACTTCAATTAGTGCATCACTTTTAGATGAGAAGCTCACATTGTAAAAGAAAGAGGGACAAGCTACTAAAAAGCCTGACTTAAAGTGTCTCCCATTCTGCTGCTTCATGCTGCAATCTTGAACAATGTTACTGAATGTTTCCTTTCTTTTTTCTTTTAGTTTTTTTTATTTCAAAAAAATAATTTTAAATATAATACCGTTACATGCAATAAACGTTAATATCTCAAGAAAAATGATTTTAAATATGTTACATGCAGTAACCACCAATTATAATAACCAATGCAATAACCATCAATTGCAATAACCAATTATTCAAGAAAAATTATCTTACATATAATATTACTACAATAAACATTAATATTTCAAGAATAAAAGGATTTTAAGTATAACAATATTACCAAAACTGTACTGATATAGTATGATATCACAAAAGTTGTAGGAAATATTAAAAATCTGTAAATAACAGGATTACTTCTATTATATTCTAGTATATTTCCCCCTCTGGCTCTATTTTTGTTCTTCAGTTTATGTTACTCATTATATTCCACCAATGAGTGAGATCATATGATATTTATCTTTCTCTGACTGGCTTATTTCGCTTAGCTTGATGCCCTCCATGTCATCCATGCTGCTGCAAATGGTAAGAGTTCCTTCTTTTTTTACTGTAAATGTTTCTGAGCTTTGGTTTCTCTATTTCCCTTGATTCATAGGGACGGTGGGTAACTTATCTATCGATAGTCTCCTATTTGCTCTAAAATGAGTTTAATAATACTTCCTCCAGTTTCTGCCCAGATTCTTGAGAGAAGCAAATGAGAATCGATTAAAAGACATTTTTACAAACTATAAGATGCAAATCTGCACTTGGATTTGGCACATCGGTAGTTACAGTAGTAATGACATCTGCCTTGGATATGGTCGACACCTGAGGTAGCATAGCTCTTTTCTTCTTAGGAAGATAAGGTAGTATAGTTGCTAAAGGAGTATAGTTCAAGGGGAAATAGCTCAGGGGATCAGCCCCCAAGGCAGAGACCAGGGTTTCTCAGCCTCTGCAGTTTTGAGTTTGAGCTGTAGCGTTCTTTGTTGTGGGGACTGTCTTGTGCACTATGTAGGAGGTTTAACACTATTCCAGGCCTCCACCCACTAGATGCCAGTAGTTCCCTCTCCACATGTGAAAACTAAAAATGAGCCCACGTATTACTATTAGATGTCCCCTGGAGGGCAAAATCATCCCTCATTGAGAATTATTTACTTAGGGTTCTTCACTCAGAATCTCCTGACACCTGTGTTAATCTGGAACCCAGTCATTCTTAAAAGGCCAAAGAGGCCTAAGAGGTAGAGAAGCACTGTTTAGTATGGAAAGGAGTTAGAAGATCAGGCATCTTTGTTCTGTTAGATGCTGCAGTTTCCACATGGCGGCACCTGACTTCATTTCCTTCATAATCTATTCAGTTGTCCATTTACCCAGTCATCAGATTATGTTATTGAATACTGCTATCGTCCAGGCACTGTGTTAGACCCTATAGTGGGAAATAATGTGCTATCTAAGTTGGTCCGACGCAAATTACAGAGAGGACTCCCTCTGTGGGAGGTAAGTGCACTGTGAGTGGCACACCTGTACAGCTGTGTCTGTGGGGCTGATGGACAGATGGCACTATGTTGGTGGTCTCTCTATCTTCTCTACACTACCTGCACATTTTCTCTTTTTCAGCATTGCAGATTCATTTCATATCGAAGGAACAGATGCTTAAGGCTTGTAAGTGCACACAAGAGTATTCTCAGATTTTTCTTTTTGTAGGTGCAAACTGGTTATGTTCTTAGCCACATGGCATTAAGAAAGTCTGTGACATTCAACCTTTTAGGCATCCTCCAGAGTTCTCCCCCTCACCCATGGCTTTAAAATTCAGAAAGTCCTTTCTGACCTAGGGAGAATTATAAGCCTTCCTTCACCCCCATTACCTTGTACTACTGCTTGATAAGGAATTTTCTCCCTTATATCTGTTTAGGCTGTGGTCTTAGATTCCATGGCATCCTGAAATACTAAGAAATGTTTAAAAGTAAACTCAAAATATTTCCTGCCTTAGAAACAGTATCCTTTTGTGCTTAAGATCATTCTGGCAGATAAGGATTTGATTTCATGCATTTCTGTATGAATAGTGTTTGTAAGGTGTGGATGAGAACAATATTGATCAAGGGGAGCCATCAACCATGGAAAAATTTTAGAATGGTCTCAGAATTACTGCAGAAGGAGACTGCCCTTCATTACCTATTTCCAGACAGTCCTTTAACAAAAGTAAGAATCTTTTGGCCAGCAGTGTCAGCATCTTCCTTCAGTGATTATCTCTTCATGTGCCAGAGTCAGTGGCAGGCTTTTGGGACATAGCAGGACACAAAGCCCTGTTTCAAGGTCAATCAGAAAAGTAAACAAAATAATTTTAGGTCTTGATAAATACAATGAAGAAAATAAAGCGGTGATGTAGTAGAGGTGGCAGGGAGTTGGTAGTCATGAGAGACCTCCCTAGGAGCTGTCATCTCATGGGAGACCTAAGTGACAAGAACCACCAAGGGGAACAATGGGAAAAGAATATTATTGGCAAAGGGAAGGGATAGTTATTCCCAAGGCCCAAAGCTGATTAGGACCAATTCTGAACTTATTCTTTTAGAGTCACAGAATATTCCCAAGTTACATTTACTAACTTTTCCCCTTGATCTGTCCTTACTTCCTACCAGGTGTGAATTCACTGTTCATGCTGTTCCAGGTGAATGCCCAACTCTTTCCTGGGCTCCTTTACAAGCATCTGTCTTCTGGAAAAGTATTTTGTTTCCATTTGTCTCCTTTTTTGAATTTAGGGATTATTAGTAACAATAATATTGTAGAAATAGGGTCACATTTTTTGTTTTTTAAGTTTGAATTACAGTTTTAAGTATGATTGGTATAGAAATTTAAATATTTATGGGCTTTTATTCCCCTAGAAAACAAAAATGGAATTTTTCTCCCTGCCAGTGGTCAATCCTTCAGCCATCCTTATTCTTGTTTTGTAATTGTATGTGGCAGAAACTGAGATTGAGCAATTTGCTTTTTATTTCCAGCCCTTGAAACTCTAGTTTACTCTTCTGGTCTTGAAAATTGAGTTAAAAGTTTACTGACATTACTCTGTTCTCTCCTTATATTACTTAAAAAGATCTTAACTGAATACAGAATGTGCATCTTAAATGACTTTAGTAAGTTGGCTTCTTGATTTTGGTAAGCTCAGATCTCTGCCTTTGCCAGCTCTTGCCCTGGCATCCCTCAGGATGCTGCTTTCCTCAGCCCAGCCCCAGTGTCTCAGCCTGGTTCACTGACCTCAGACAGAAACCAGCCAGGGCAGAAAGGGACAAAATTTGATCTCACAGGTTTCATTCACCATTTGTTTTCATATCTCTCCTTTCCTTGCTTTGACTCCTCCCACCCTATTCATATTGTTTATTTGCTCACTGAAAAAACATTTACTAGTACTTAAGTACCTATCAATCTAAGGGAAACCAGTTAAGTTTAGAGAAAACATATTCACACATATGATGCAGGCAGCAGGTAAATTAGACTGTTGTGGGCAGTAGTCAGCCTGCACTTGTGTTTTACTTACCTATCGAATGTTTAAGATTGTTTTTCTTAATGTAGATGACAGTGTTTGAAAATTGGGTTGTTTCCCATAAAACCTGGGTGCTGGGTTGGGGGGCCTGGCCTATGTCTCCCTTGGATGAGGGGAAGATGGGGGAAGGTGCTAGGCATAGGGCAGAGGCTATAGACATAGCAACCTCGGTCCTTGCAAGTTTCACTTGCTGAGGTGTCATATGTAGGTGTCATCCTGATAGCTACTTAGAGCCCTAAGAAGATCTTAATCTGAAATATCACATGATGAGCTTTGCACCTTGGAGGTAGGTTGAGGAATCTTTGGAGTTGCCAAATTCAGAGGTAGGGAGATGTCTAGGAAGTTATTGCAGTAAGTAAGAGGGGAGGGCTGAGTAGTCGAAGGAAGTGCTAAGTGGAGTCCAGAGAAGGGAAGAGTCTCCTGTGAGTAACCTCCAACTGGTCCTTGGAGTACTGGTGGGGATGCTGCTTTCAGGGTGGGTAGGACTTTGCTAGTTGATGACTTGCCTGATGGTCTGTGAAACTTATTTGCAATTGTGAATCTTTTCTTGATTTAAAGGCCTACATCAGGGTCTGTGGTCTGAACAAGAGAACCCAAATGTGGCTGCTTTATATAGAGTAGGTCAGGCCCTACGGTCATTTGTGCATATGCCATTGGTTTTTAGCAAGGCAAAGATGCACAATAAAATCCATGCCCTGAAGAATGTCACTGGGTGCTGCTTTCAGTGAAGTGAGCAAAAAATAGGGAGTGCGGAGCAGAGCCGGGTAGTGGTGCTGACATGAGGGTGTTGCTTGGGTACTGGGGGTATGTAGGGAAGTGTCATCAAGACCTGTGTGCTGTGTGCACTGAGCAATCTGTCTGGTACTGTAGCTTCTGCAGCAGTGTCCTTAATTGGACTTTAGAGTTTCCATACAATGTATTGGAAAGACAAAAATGATTTTCTGGTTTCGTTTTTTGCAAAGTGTGAAAAATAAGTCCCTGTTCTCATCTCAGATCTACTGAATCATTTTATACGGGTGCTGGGGACTTGTCCAGAAATTTGAATTTTTAACAGATTCTGGTGGATAGTTTGGTTTGAAAACACTGTCTTAGGAGAAGTAGACATTTAGAAGCATATGCATGTTCTTAATTAACTTACCCATTTAGATAGTCCATTCATTCATTTAGCAATTTTTTTGTTGAATGATAATCATGGGCCAACCCCTGAGCCAGGAGCTGGGTGTGCGGCTGTGAGTGACAGGATATGTTTGCCGCCCAGAAAGTTTTCCAGCCCAGCCGCAGGCACAGACCTTCACCTTGTAGTGCCCCTGTGATAGCATCACTATAAGGAGAGCATAGCAGACTGTGGGGACTGAAGCAAGGGTCTACTCCAGACTTGGGGATCAGGACAGGCATCTTTTGGGCATGAGTCATAGCTGCCTAACAGTGGGAACAACATGCACAAAGGCCTCAGACAGCAGAGGGCAGGTTTGCTAGAGCTGTGAGAGAAGCCTTGTATGTACAGCAGGTATAGAGGGTGTGTGAAGCGTATACTGAGAAAAGGAGGAGTCATGGAGAATCCTGGTCTTTCAAGTTCCACAAATAGATGGGCACCAACATGCGACTATCAATAGGTTATTTGGGCAAGCTTACTATTGGCCATGGGAAAAAGGCAGGAGCTTGGAGACAGGGATGCTCGCTTGTGTGTGATGTCCATCTAGGGAGGTGCTGATAGTGGATGTGGCAGGTGATAAGTCTGAGCTGTGCTCCAGCTACTATGCTGAGGGTTAAGCCTCTATATTCAAAACATTGTCAGTTTTAGGTCCCTAACACTCACATCTGGTCTGTGTCTCTTCCCTAGATCCTGCCTGGCCTGTATATTGGCAACTTCAAAGGTGAGTTCTCTTTTCTTTAGTATTATTGTGGTAAAATATGTATAATGTATAATATACCATTTTAACAATTTGTAAGTGTACAATTCAGTGGCATTAACTACATTCATATTGCTTGTAACCATCACCACCATCCTTCTCCAGAACTGTTTGATTTTCCCACCTAGAAATTACTACTTTTAATAAAATGAAAAGTCAGTTATTCTCATCTTATGTTGACTTTTCTTTTACCCTTTAGACACTACCCCTTTCTCCGCACCCCAGCCCCTGGTAACCACCATTCTACTCTGTGTCTATGAATCTGACTACTTTAGGGGCCTCACATGAGTGAAATCATGTAGTATTTGTCCTTTTGTGACTGGCTGGTTTCACTTGGCATAATGTCCTTAAAGTGCATCTATACTAATGTGTCAGAATTGTCTTCCTTTTTAAGGCTAAATAATATTCCATTTTATGTACTCATTCATCTATCGATGGACATTTGGGTTGCTCCCACCCAAAGGTAAGTTTGCTTTTTAAGAGGTCAGCTTTAACCTTCTCACCTATGATTGAAACAAGGTGTAAACTTGGTTTATTCAAAGTCTGGTCTGGAGATGGCCACCACTATTGTTAGACCCCTTTTGGACTGGACCCTCTTGGCCAGTGTTGACTGAGTTGTATGAGCTTGCAGGTTCCAATTGGTCCTTTGACCTTCATTTTAATTCTATACACATGTTCGAACATGATATAAAGAAGATGGCTGAAAGACTCATTTAATAGCCATGTAATTTATTTATAATCTTTTATCATTTTTCTCTTGTAATTAATACATTTTCAGAAATCTGTTTTTTTAATCACCTGGGAAAACTAAGAGGAAATTTTATCTTTAGCAGATTATTCTCATCTTGTATTGACTTTTCTTTTCATATATTTTTCTGCTTCTTATTAAATACTAGAGGCTTGGTGCGTGAAAATTCATGCACTGGAGGCGGTGTCCCTCAGCCCGGCTTGCTCCCTCTCACAGTTCAGGAGCCCTCAGAGGTGGGAGGTGACCCGGCCATCAGGGGAAGGTGATGCCCCCATCACACTTCTGCTGCTGCCACTGCTGGTAGTGCAAGCCTCGGCCGGCCCTGGTTACCTGAGCCTTGGGGGGCCCTGGGCAGCTTGGCAGCCGCCATCTGAGGCTTGCCTGTGCCTCAGGCCCACCCTAGGCGGTTGGCCAGCTGCCATCTGAGGCTTGCCTTCACCTCAGGCTGGTCCTAGGCAGCTGGGTAGCTGATGTCTGAGGCTTGTCTGCACCTCAGGTGTCAGCTAGGTAGCCGCCATCAGTGGCTTGCTTGTGCCTCGGGCATCGGCTGGGCAGCCGCCATCCGAGGCTTACCTGTGCCTTGGGCTGGCCCTAGGCAATTGGAGGGCTGAGGGTGGGTCCTGCTGCACTGTGTGCCTGCTGCCCTGAAAGGACTGTGGTACTCCAGCGGGGCTGAGGGGATGAGGGGACTGGGTGCCATCATCTTGTGGCTATGGGTGTCACCATCTTTGTGATGGTGTGTTGGTCAATTTGCATATTCCCTCTTTATTAGCTAAGATGTGTTTGATTTGCTGTCAGCTATTGATTTTTTATTTTTAGCTTACCTGTCTCAAAATGTTCTGTGGTCACAGAGGTCAGTAGAAACCCAAGGAGCAAGTGAATGATGGCAAAAAGACTTGATTTCCAAGGAGGGCTGGGTGCCCATGCTGTGTGACACTGAGTGAATTTAGTGAAAACTGGTTCCTCAGCATGGAGACAGGGTGTGTAGAACAGGAGAGAATACACAGAGGAAACCTGCAGAAACCAGCCAGCCTTGTTGGGCTCAGAGCCAACTTTCATCATAGGATCTGAGACTCCACCCTCCTCAAGCAGTCCAACACATACTGCTGTCAGTTTCTGGTTATTGCCTAAATTCATGATTCAGAATCAAGTTAATTGTAAAAACAACCTGTATGATTTCTCTGCATAATAATTGTTCCTCTTTTTCCCAGAAAGCTCCCAACTTTGCTAGTTCCCTCAAAGAGAATTAAGCACAGGAAGCTGACAGCTAGCTGCTAATTGCTACTAGAACTCATTAAGAATAGTATTGGAGTTCCTAAATCAGTGAGCTTTGTAGTTTGGGAAAAGCACCAAGTGGTAGGGAGGTGCTTGTAAAGTCCAGAAAACACAGAAGAAACCTGCAGTTTCCAATCCATTAAAAAGCCAGTATCTTTAGGGGTTTACTTGGTGAGTTATTATTAACTGCTTTCATGGGAGAAAGAATGTCTTCAAGTTTGAAACAGAATTAGAATAAATTCTTAGAAGTAGAATTATTAAGTGAAGTGTTTACAAATTAAAAACTGTATCCCTACCCCAGTGGTCGGCATGCTCACTAGTCAATAGATCAAATATCAACAGTACAATGATTGAAATTTCTTTTGAGAGCCAAATTTTTTAAACTTAAACTTCTTCTAATGCCACTTCTTCAAAATAGACTCACCTAGGCCGTGGTATTTTGTGGAAGAGCCACACTCAAGGGGCCAAAGAGCCGCATGTGGCTCGCAAGCTGCAGTTGCCTACCACGGCCCTAGCCGATTTGGCTCAGAGGATAGAGTATCGGCCTGCAGACTGAAAGGTCCCAGGTTTTATTCCTGCAAGGGCACATGCCTGGGTTGTGGGCTCAATCCCCAGTAGGGACGTGCAGGAGGCAGCCGATCAATGACTCTCATCATTTGATATTTCTATCTCTCCCTCTCCCTTCTTCTCTAAAAATCAATAAAAACATTTTAATAAATACTAATCAAATTAAATACTTCTGCCAACAGTTTGTGATAGTTTTATCCTTACACATAGAAGGTTACTTTCTTATAAAGGGACATTATGCACAACTTTAAGTAAAACACTCTTTTTTTTACTAAAATCTGTACCTATTTTCTGAATATTCATTGACATAGGAAACCTTCCTGGTTCCAGGATTCTTGCTTTGTGGGTTTCACCCATTAGAGAGTTCTGCATCAACTACACTGTCTTTGTTCAGGCGGTGATGCTTTGTTGTTGCCGTCAGCTATTCTAACATTAGTATGTGGTTGTGTTTTATTTTTATTATTATTTTTCAAATTTATTTATTGATTAAGGTGTTACATATGTGTCCTTGTTCCCCCATTACCTCCCCTGTTCCCTCCACTCATGCCCTCATCCCTCTGTTGTCTAGTGTCCATTGGTTAGGCTTATATGCATGCAAACAAGTCCTTTGGTTGATCTGTGGTTGTGTTTTATTCACATGCTAATTCACCAAGCATTTCTTAAACACTCATCAAGTGTCAGGTTTATCTACACAAGAAGCTGGGAAGAAGTATTGTATCTATATATTATAGTTGCCTGTGAATTTACTCATTTATTCCACACAGTTGTTGCAAGGCACTGTGCTAGGAGATTGATGTGGATATGTAGCCTGGCCCTTGAGCATGTACTGAGCAGGGGAACAGTTCCTGCAGAGTTGATCTTGTCTTGGAATTCAGCTACCCTACAGCCCATGAGCCAGATGTTTGCCCTTGATACTTTAAGCAACCTCTGTGTGAGAGCGGATGATAACCTCGCCCCTTCCTTCCTTCCTTCCTTCCTTCCTTCCTTCCTTCCTTCCTTCCTTCCTTCCTTCCTTCCTTCCTTCCTTCCTTCCTTCCCTCCCTCCCTCCCTCCCTCCCTCCCTCCCTCCCTCCCTCCCTCCCTCCCTCCCTCCCTCCCTCCTTCCTTCCTTCCTTCCTTCCTTCCTTCCTTCCTTCCTTCCTTCCTTCCTTCCTTCCCTCCTTTTCTTCCTTCCATTAGAATCCTCTGCAAGTCACACTGCAACTTCCTTTTTTTCTTTTTCTTTTTAACTTTGGACTTAATCTGGTCATGATGATGATGATAATAATAATGACAACAATACCATTTACCATATACCAGCCAAGCACTGTTCTCAGCATTTTATATCATTTAGTACTTCCAGCAACCCTTTGATGTGGTACTTTTGCCATTTTCCAGCATTATAGGTGAGAAGAGTGAAGCACGGAAAAACCTGCCAAAGCTCAGGACCAATAAATGTCAGAGTCCAGATTGGTAGAGAAGGGAAAAGGTAGAAACTGCCCCATTTTGACACATATGTAACACCTTAATCAATAAAGAAATTTGAAAAATAATAATAAAAATAAAACACAGCTACATACTAATGTTAGAATAGCTGACAGCAACATTGACATAGGAAATGTCTTTGTTCACTGCCTGAACAAAGACAGTGTAGTTGATGCAGAACTCTCTAATAACTCATTTGGTTAGAGAATTATCCAGGTAGGAGATAGGTCTATTTAAAGGTTCACCCCACTGACAATTATTACAATGTGTAGTAATTTGTAATTAAAAATCTTTCAGTTTTACAATGTGAAGCATAAGTGCAAATGGATTGGAATCTCTTGCCCATCATTCAGCAGATTCTCAGCTTGGGAGGCAGAAGTTGTTTTGGAAATAACTTGGAACATGGCTTGGGCTTCAGAGCAGAGGGATTTGGTCTCTTTATAGCAGAGACATTCCTTCTCCCCTCCTACCCCCCTCACCCTGCATGGCCATCCTTTTGAATTCACAAACAGTGCAGCAGGTGCTTTGAGTATTGAACAGGCATTGCCAAAGAAGTTCTTTCCTCCCAAGTTTATGTTTTTCTTGACCATTTGTGTTGCTAGTGTTAATTTCTAATTCTTCTTTGAATATATTTTTGTTCATTTTATTCAGAAGAAATTCTGCTTGACTTTGTTGGACTAGCTTCTTTCCCATAACCATTCTGGCATCTCCAACATCTTGGGACTTTTTACCCTGTCCATCTTCTGTGTCAATATAGAGTGCTAATTTTCCTTCCTGAGGAAGCATGAGGCTGTCACTTTGCCCTTTAGGACAGCATCTTATAGGAATCCACCTGCTCCTTCCATTATGTTCACCCAGTAAATGGTGGAGTTTTCCTCCTGTGAGGCAGGGGACATTCAGTAGCAGAGAAAAATATGTTGGGTGTTTCTGTTTTAGTGCTCCCACTGTGTGAAGGAGACAGTTCCTCTTCAGGAGGCCTGATAAAGCAGACCTGGTGGGAGGGAAGAGTTTTGGAGATGGGGAGGGTAAAGGAGACAGGAGACAAGAAGTCCAGGGTCAAAGGAGATGGTGGCAGAGAAAGGATAAGAACATGGTTAGCTGTTGTTCACCAATAAGGGGCTGTCTGTTCATTTACTTATTAATGCAAGTTACATTGAATTTTGTGAACAGTATTTTTACATTTTTGTCTTCTTTTATTATAAAAACATGTAGAGTTATTTAAAATAAAATTTAAAAATCCAAACATGAGCCCTGAATGGATAGCTCATTTGGTTAGAGAATTATCCAAAATGCCAAGGTAGCGGGTTCAATCCTCATCAACGCACATATAAGAAGCAACAGTGGGTGCATAAATAGGTGGAACAAGAAATTGATGTTTCTCTCTCTCTTTTCTCTCCTTCCTCTCTCTTCTTCTTGGTCTCTCTCTCTCTAAAATCAACAAAATAAAAAATAAAACCCAAATATGATGGAAATGTTAGAATTAAAAATTCCCAAAAATCTCCTATCTTGAGATAATTGTCAGCACATTTTCCTGTAGATTTTTTTTTCCCATTTGAATTCTAAATGTAATCTTCCCATTGATTTTATTAATACTGACTTGTGTTTGTGATGACAAGTGTCTGAATTGTGTTTTAGATTAGAAATGGCACCAACATACTGCAGTGAGGCAGGGGGCCCCATGTAAAGTGCACACAGCTTTCCTTCCGGAGTTCTTATTCCAGGGTAGGCTGTGACTGTGCAGGTGTGTAGGGGGCCTGGGAGCCTGCATTTCCAGTATGGTTCCAGGTGATGCCTAGCTTCTGCTTTACTGGCTCTGGTTTGGGTTTGAGCAGCACAGCATTTAGTCCTGCACCTCCAGGTTACGCATGTGCATGTCAATGAGCTGATAACCCCCTGGTCAGAGTCTCACAGTTGCATTCTTAGCTCATTTGTAGTTGTAGGTGGCCACCAGAACCATCAACAATACCAAGTCCTGAGGAATAAAAGGTTCAGTGTCATCAGTAGCTTTGATGGAACATTTTGTGCACTCTCAAGTTGATGGGCATAGCCTGTGCTTAGGGGAAGGGTAACAGTGTGGGTGTTGCTTTAAGGAAAGAAAAAGCACAGAGCAGAAGGAGCATAGTCCTCTAGGAACTGTCATTTTCTTTGAAGTCAGTGTCTTATTTGTGGTGTTGAGTGGTCTTCTGTATGCAAATATGTGTAATCTTATTTCCAAACCACTTTTTTTTATTGTTCATCTTAATCTGTGTTACAACAGCATATTTATGGGGTGATGAAAATGTTCTAAAGTTAGATTGTGGTGAGATTAAAAACTCTGCATATGCTAAAACCCTTGAGTTGTACACTTTAAAAGGGTGAATTCTATGGCACATGAATGATCCCAGTAAAGATGTTTTTAAAAAGACAAAAACTATATTTAAATAAATATTGACCATTAAATTCAAATCTTGGGCAGCATCAGAATCTGAAAGCTCCTGCCATTGAGTGTCCCAGCTTGCCTTAAAGAGCCCATCTCCCCTGCCTTTCTGTATGTCTCCTCTGTGAACACTAGATGCTTTAGTTGCTCTTGTTTCACTTGTAGATTCACAAAAGCTCTAGTGATAACTGGAGAATCACATTTTGGTGAGAATGTGGAGACTGGCAGCCTGTGGATCCCAAATGATTCCAGTTCCTGCCTAATTCAGAGCTCACTAAGGGTTGGTGATACCGTGTTTCCCCGAAAATAGGACATCCTCCGAAAATAAGACCTATCGCATGGAAAGATAAGACATCCCCTGAAAATAAGACGTAGCGCAACTTTGGGAGAAAAAATTAATATAAGACACTGTCTTATTTTCGGGGAAACAGGGTAGATAGCTTGGGTGGGGAGGGTCAGAATGGAGTCCTTTGTGTGTGAGGGAGATGATCTCTGTGCATATCTGAATTTGAAGCTTGAGATGGCTAAAGCAGTTAAGAGAGTCTTAAAAACCAATATTTTAATATTTTAAAGTTTTTTTCTTTCTTTAAGAGTGGTGCATGCTCGTTGCAGAATATTTACAACAGTGTTCTTAGGTTTTGTTTCATCATCAAGCTAATTAGAAATGCATTTTCCTCAGCCCTGTCTTAGACCTTGAATTAAGTTGGAGCCTAGGAATCTGCCTGTTTAACAAGCAACCCCTCCCTCCCAATAGTTCATAAGCATGTTAAATTATTAGAAAATATATAAAAAAGAAAAAAAATGAAAACATTTATAATTACCTCTCTTAAAGATGACCACTTTTGGGGCTAATTCTTTACAGCAGTTTTACCCACCTAAGTGTGTCTATCTTTATGTGTTTTTACAAATTTTATTTATATTGTATTTATAGTTTTGTACCTGTTTTATCCTCTGTTTAACATTATATCCTGAGCATTTTCCAATGTCATTAAATATTCTCCAGAAACATGATAATTAAACAGTTAACTTTCTGTTTGTTTTATCCTCTATAATTTTAAAAAGCTCAGGACAGAGGCAAGTGACCACCTTATTTCTTGCTGGACCTGTTTCATGAATTAGAGATGGGTTACAACGTGGTGAAATTCATACAGTTTTTATGCTACTTCGGAAAGGAATATAATGGGTGTCTCCTTAATGTCATATGCAGATTATTTAATAGCTGACTCATAACTTAGGGACAATTCTGTTTAGCATTTATAGAAAATGTTTCATTTTTATTTTTGTCCTAAAGTAAATCTATTTAAACCACAGTCTTGTCTGTATGTCTGGACCCATTCCTACTTTTGACATTAAGGCACCGTCATCTCTGGCAGGTTCATATTTTTTTACACAGTAGTGAGTCTTTTGTGATTAATTTTAACTTGGATTGTTAATCATTAAAGGCAATTTTAATACATTTTTAACATCTTTAGTGTTATGTGTTTTATTGAGTCTACAATTTAACAATTATCACCTACCAAATTGATCTCATGGGTTCACTTCCTTGATCACAGTCTTTATCTCTCTTAGTACCTTTCCACATTCTGAGCCAGTCAGAAATTAACATAGTTATCTGCAAAACACATAAAAGAGATAGCCCTCTAGTCCCTAGACCTAGATTATTTTGGGTATGGTCAATTATGAAGTTTCAAGAAAGAAAGATGTAAGTCATTTTGGGGGCATTTTCTGGCCAGACATGAGGAGGAATCAGTCACTTGCAGAGTAATGACATGCCCATCTTTTTCTTCTGTGACAGATGCCAGAGATGCAGAACAGTTGAGCAGGAACAAGGTGACCCACATCCTATCTGTCCATGATAGTGCCAGACCCATGTTAGAGGTAAGAACGTGTGCTGGGGTGCAAGGGACACCCATGTGCTCCTTTGGTTGCTGTTGTGCTCGGAGGACTACATTCACAACAGCAACCTAGTTGAGGGACTACATGCCTGTGGAATGTGGAGGGTGTGTTGTTCCCATGTCTCCTGCTGCATTGTGAGCTTGGCTTTCTTGACTATGTACCAGAGATAAGTTGATGCTGCACTGATTTCCCTCTGGGTTTAAAGGACATTTCAGACCCATTTCATTCCTTTCAAAATTATCTCCAATTTTAGAATCCAAAAGAATCTGGGCTGCTCATTGTTGTTTTTCCCCACTTAAGCTCAATAATGTACCATTTGCACTTGGGAATAAAAGATAATGGGAGATAAGTCACTGGAGATTTCCTAAGACTCCTCTGATACAGTGGTTGTCAGTGTAGAAGCTGTTGTGTATTAGGTTTTCAAGTAAACAAGGTTTGTCAGTCTGTACATTAATTCCCAAACCATCTTCAGTGTTACCCCAATGGACTGTTTAAGCTGTTGTCCAGGAGCCAAATCTGTTTGTTTATTAGCCTTGGCAGAGTCCAAGTTACCTCTTTTCAGGAAGGTAATGCATGTGTGGTTGTAATGTGTATTGTGTTTTTCTGTTGTAGGGTAGGGTGTTGGAGAAAATGGGGCAATTTGTTCTGAAAGAAATAATCCTAGTTCAAGTTGTTTTCATTTAAATTCATATTATATAAGAATAGATCATACACTTTTATTGCTAATCTATTTTCCTTAGCCATTAGAACTGCCAGATTAGAGTTAGTATAAAATAAATGAGGACATGGAGGAAGAAGTGATTCTGTCAAATCTTGTATAGACAACTATATGTGGTAAGCAACTCGGACCATTTCTTGAGATCTGTGAACTGGCATTTCTGTTTCAGCTCATACTTCTTGTTAAGGTGCTATAATTTGTGTTGTAGCAAAATTTCATTGAAAAACACAACAACAATAGCACACCATTTTTGGGAATAATAATAGTTCCATTTTTTTTATCTAGGAATAATAATTTTTATTTAAAGCATAGCCAGGCTATGGCCACCATCATAAGTTAAACATAAACAGTCAGGATTGATTTCCTCTTAAATCATAACATGAGACTTGAGGTTTCCTTTATTTAATGAATGACATAGATGTCCTTTCCTCCTCACCCTCCAACCTCCCTCCTGACTCGATGCTCCATTTAGCGGAATGTTGTCCTTGTCCTGAACATGGCCCTTGACCTGTCCCATTGTAGCTCCTGGTAGATACAAGATCTGCAAGTGTTAGACGTAAAGGAGTGCCAGCCTTGATTTGCCCAACCTCTCATTTTACATATGGGGAAATGAAGGGCTAGTGAAACAGGCGGAATTGTAGCCCAGTGTAGAGAACACTGTTTGCATAAAACCCTCAGAGCTGTGGATAACTGTGTTCCCATCAATAATATATTGCATATTTCTTTCTTTCTTTTTTTTAAAATATATTTTATTGATTTTTTACAGAGGGGAAGAATGAGGGATAGAGAGTTAGAAACATCAATGAGAGAGAGTCACCAATCAGCTGCCTCTTGCACATCCCCTACTGGGTATGTGCCCGCAACCAAGGTACATGCCCTTGACCGGAATCGAACCTGGGACCTTTCAGTCTGCAGACTGACGCTCTACCACTGAGCCAAACCAGTCTCGGCCGTATTTCTTTTTAGCCCCTACATATCTCAGTCTAACTTCACAAGTAATTCATGAATACATTCTTATTTTTTTTAAAAAATAGAACAATAGCCTCTCTTATGTAACAACTGCTCACATCAGTTATTGGAATAGAGGAGTTTCACCGGCCAGGGATCAGATGGTTCAGACCTTTGGTTAGCCCCTGCCTGATGCCCATGGCAACTTCTATCTTAAATTGCAGCTCTAGTTCCAGAAACCACACTCTCACCAGCCTGGGTTAGGTCACGGATATTAACTTGTTTGGAGTAGGTAGGGAATTAACAGATAGATTTGATCCCTAGAGTGAAATAAGGACAGAGATGAAGGTCAAAGGGCAGATTGTGTGCAGGGCAGAGCAGCTGCAGTGAGCTGCTCCCAGTCTGAAGAGGGGCCCAGTAGAGAGTGGAGGGGAAAGAATGAGAGAGAAGGGAGCTGGACCTGCTTCAGTTTATAAGAGCTTCAAAACCATGCATGTTTATCTTATGATCCCTGACTTACTCTGAGTAGCACTAGTCTGGGGTGGGGCTGGAAGAGAGAGGTAGTTACTACCATGTTTCCCCGAAAATAAGACATCCTCCGAAAATAAGACCTAGTGCATGGAAAAATAAGTCATCCCCTGAAAATAAGACCTAGTGCATCTTTGGGAGCAAAAATTAATATAAGACACTGTCTTATTTTCGGGGAAACAGGGTATCTAATATAGAAAGGTTTCAGCTCTGTCTCTTCCACACAGGAATTCTGTGAGTCTTGCTGTTGTGTCTGTGGATTGGGCAGTGCACTTTGTGTCGTTTCCAACAAACATCTGAGTGAGTTTAAAAATGCTGGATGCTTAGCATCACTTAGAAAGGGATTTTGGAATCTTTAGGTCTGCTCTAAGTGAGAAAGGGCAGTCATATTGTTCATCGAGGTTTCTAAAACAGAAGCCAGAGGTAGAGGCTTCCTGAGGATCTCAAAGGATATGCATAAGCTATCAGACATTAGGCCTGGAATATGATGCTTTGCAAAAAATAAATAGGGAATTTAACACCTTTCTGGAAGATTTACGATGTTTTGACAGAAAAAGGTTCCAAGTTCCGCATTGAAGGTACACATTAACCAGTCTCTCTGAGCAGGGACCTGATACCATCTGTGGAACTATGTTCTGCTGAATATGGTCATGGGAATCCAGAGTCAGGGCGACTCTGGAAAGGGCCACGAATCTGGGTGAGTATCCTGGGCAAGTGGGTGTTCACAGGAATGTTCAGACACCTGAGTAGCCAAGAGGACTAGCGTCAAGGAGGTGGTGCCAAAACTGATCTCGTTACTAATGGAGGCTGCCGGATGGTGAGTTTCTGGACATCTTGGTATAAAAGAGATAGACAGAATGGAAGATTACACAGTTTTTGTGCCTATTATAGCCTCTTAGGTGTAATCTGTTGCAATAACAGTACTATAAAGTATACCCACCATGAAAGAACTCATGAATATGCTGATATCTTCAGTTATTATCCACTTAATTTTTTAAAAAAATATTTTATTGATTTTTTACAGAGAGAAAGAGAAAGGGATAGAGAGTTAGAAACATCGATGAGAGAGAATCATCGATCAGCTGCCTCTTGCACATCCCCTACTGGGGATGTGCCTGAAACCAAGGTACATACCCTTGACCGGAATTGAACCTGGGACCTTTCAGTCCGCAGGCCGAGGCTCTATCCATTGAGCCAAACCGGTTTCGGCTCCACTTATTAATTTTATTTAGGAAAAACTCTAAGAAATTTGGTTGATTTTAGATTAGATTAGATCTGATTTTCCATTATTTGGATAATTTTTGATGGTTTCTGACATGGCATTAGCAGGGTCTCCCACTCTTCATAGCAACCTGATAGGTGGAAGAAAATGAAAGACGCTGTTCTCTACCTGCTGCGCCTGAACGTGGTCCTGGAGTGCAGCAGCTTGTCTCTGGTGTTTCTGTGCTGGATGCGATAAAGTTCTCCATCCTCTGATCCAGGAAGGTCAGTTAGGGGGAAGAGATCTGATCAGCTAAGGGGAAGAGGTCTGAGGCTTCAATTATCTCTCTGAAGAGTACCTGAGGAATAAGTCTTCCAGAATGAAGACTTTTAGAAACTTAAACACCTCCATACTCACACGAGTCAGCCCTAAACTAACAGCAGATGCTGAAGAGCTCTGGCTCCCATTTTCGTGCTGCTGCACAGGGTCCTGGAGATGACCTACTTGATCCCATCACTGCGAGCAAGAAGCTGAAGTTCAGAAATGTGCAGGGATTTGTTCTTAATCCCACAGCTGATGTATGGCTTTGTGGAAACCTGGATCTGCTCTCACATTATCCAGTGAGTTTCCCTGCTGTAGCACAACTGTTGCCCCTGACTTTAACAACAGTATTGGTAGATGTTGATACATCAGCTTGGGAAAGGATTGTACCATTTGTGTCTTGATTAACAGTGTAGAAAAGTGTGTTTCCCCAGACTACCACCACCATTGAATCTTATTCTTCTTTACTTTTTATTAGCAATATTTTTGCTTTTTATTATTGCCTCAAGTGCCTTCCTCACACTGTTGAGTCTTTTGTCCAGATATTGAATTCAGGGAGTTAATGATTTATTCATTTCTTGAACTCCTACTACGTACCAGCCCGAAGGTAGGTGCAGGAGATAACAGAAGTAAATCTCAGTATCTGCCCTGATGAAGCCCTTAGTGTATAAAGAAGATATGCATTATGGTTATTTTATAAATATCCTATTTAATAAAATGGTAATATGCAAATTGGCTATCACTCTAACACAAGATGGCCACCCCATGTGGACAAAGATGGCCGCCCCTATGTGGATACAAGATGGCAACCACGAGATGGCCTGCAGAGGAGGGTAGTTGTGGTCGATCAGGCCAGCAAGGGAGGACAGTTGGGGCAACCAGGCCTGTAGGGGAGGGCAGTTGGAGGGAACCAGGCCTGTAGGGGATGGCAGTTGGGGGGGACCAAGCCTGCAGGGAAGGGTAATTGGGGGCAACTAGGCCAGCAGGGGAGGGCGATTAGGGGTGACTAGGCTTGCAGGGGAGGACAGTTTGAGGTGACCAGGCCCATAGGGGAGGACAGTTAGGGGCAACCAGACCTGCAGGAGAGGGAAATGGGGGTGACCAAGCCGGCCAGGGAGGGCAGTTAGGGGTTACCAAGCTGGCAAGGGAGGGCAGTTAGGGGTTACCAGGCCAGCTGGGGAGCACTTAGGCATCAATCAGGCTGCCAGGGGAGTGGTTACAGATGATCAGGCTGGCAGGCAGAAGTGGTTAGGGACAATCAGGCAG